TTCCCTAAGGGAAGCTGACTTTCTAGATATAACTGACCAATGGATTGACAGTAACATCAGCCACGCAATAGCCCCCCATCGATTTAGCAAGTTGAGAGAAGGAAGCTAGACAGTATATATGGGTTAGAAAATAAAAATACTGTCTTAAAAACCAGTTCATACTGCCATCTCCCCCTCCCCCTTCCCTGGAAGAACTTCAACAGCACAAGATTTAATGCACATATGTTCAGAAAAAGGACAAGAAAGACAGAAAAGAAGAGAAAGAAACACAGCCTTAGAGGAATGAGACATTACCTTTGGAGCGCACGATGTAACACTGTTTCTGTAAATTTTACACAAAAATGGCAAGAAATAAATTGTAGTACAATTCCAAACAAATTCGAGTCTATGTTTCAATACAAATCTAAAATAATTTCCAAGTGTATGCAGTTTCCCAAACTGTATGTAAAACCAAGGAAATTAATATATATATATATATATATATACAGGGCTCTAAATTTTCTTTTAGGTTTCTATTTGGAAATTCATAGTAAGTTCTGGTTACATCCATAAAGAAGTGTTCTGTTATATGCCCTAAGGTGCAACTGTGTAGAATGGACTCTACTAAAAATCTGTCTGGAAAAGCACTTATTCTTCCCTATGGCTTTTTAAAGGATGCAGCTGCTCGCATGTATAAAGTTTAAGTCATCTGAGGATGCGTTTATACTGTACAGGACATCATGCCTCTATATTCCATTATGCACAAGACTACTGAAAGGCTGATTTGCTAGAAAAGAAGGATAAAAATGCAGGAACCCATTTACGGGCCGCTAAGACACTCACTGTACCGACCCTTGGACCATCCCCCCCCCAAAACAAACGACCAATCCGAAAACATTAAGGGCAGAAAGCTTTCGCTTCCACAGATTCAGATCAAGCATAAAGGAGACAGTCAGACAGAAACTGGGAGGATTACTCTTGAGCAAGCATCCCTAATCTTAACATGCCGGACTGTTCTGGTCCACTGGAATCAGTAATCAACAGCCTTAAGCCTAAAAACCTTGCTGCCCAATGGAGAAACGACAATGCAACGTGATTATGTCGAAGTCGTAGTTTCCAAAGCATGGAAAGTTGCCGTAAAGAATTAGCACTGGAGTGCTAATATTTCTTGTTATTTATCAAAACTGATCAGGAGCAGTCCCACCCCCAAGAACAATGTGGCCTAAGTTAGGGTATAAAAGTGATTAGCACCTCTCCCATGTAAACCGCCCAGAGACCCCTACGGGGGTTAGGGCGGTATATCAAATCGAAGGAATAAATAAATAAATAAATAAACACAATCACTTTAAGGCCTGCCAGCCCAATTTACATTAAGACCTATATCAGGCAAAAAGAAAAAGAAAACACACACTTCTGGCTTCATTTTGTTTGAAGTTAAGACTTTAGGATAATCCAACAGGATTATACAGGGTTAAATTAAGACTGTATGTAGACTCTGGATTATGGCATTTTTTAATGTATTAAACAATCTACCGCCCACGTTCGCAATATTAATCATTCATTCGGAGTGCGAAGAAAGGAAGTTGTGAAAACAGCCACAGTGGAAGAGCGACTGCTTCAGCTTGCGTCATAAAACAAAGCGGAGGAGGGCCCAGAAACATCTTTTCTTCCGAGCAAGTCCGTGTCCATGAGCTGAAGACTCCGTTAACATTTAAATAGAATTCCTCCTCAAATAGTTAGCATTTAGTAGGCAAGCAGCAGAGGTTGGAAAAATGCCACCTTGCCAGGTACCATAGTTCTGGCTCCCAGAATCTGGGCCTGTTTTAGAAAGATACCAGACTGCGCGCCAAAGGTCTACAACTGTGAAGAAAAAGGCTTGAGCGAGCTCAACCACAACGCCAGCGACACGTTTCAGCGCTCTCTCAAATACGGTGGTGTGCATTTAAGGGGAGGGGGGGTTAAGTGCACGGCTCGCTATCTGCTATAGCTACAAGCAACACTGTCAAAAACTCTCAAAGTGAAACAGTAGACAATTGTTTGGGTCCATGCCATTTCTTTTGTAGGTTACATGGCCAGAATCCAAAAGAGCTATTTTAGGCAATCCCGAGGTTTCGCAGGCACCCAGTTGGATGTTTTTCTTCTTCTCCACCTCCACCCCCTCCCTCCCGTACTACAAACTCTTGTAGAATGCCTCTCCATCAACCTTTTCTTGGGCATGAAGAACTATTGTGACTCTTCAGATCCTAGCCAATAAGTCTGAAAGTGGGATTTCCTCATAGAATTATAACTACTGAGACTCTGTCCAGGACACCGAGAGCCCTGTGGGATAATTAACGCTTCCAAATCAGTCACAAAATGTTGCCCACAATCCGCCCAACTGGGCACGAGGAGCAGAAAACATATCTGCTTTCAAAGACAGAGGAGGCTGATTTCCCTGACTGCAACTTTTCATCCCTTGGTTTTTAGGCACATCTGGGAAGGGACTGCAAAAGCATGCAAAAATCTCTACATGGTTCTTTGGATCTTCATCTAAGTTTGTTTCGGATACTTCCAAACAAAAGAACAAAGCCCCGCCCACCCACAATGGTTCGAATCTCTGCTTCACTTTCTCAAACTTCAGGCACAAACAATAATTTTGGTGTTAGCCTAAAGACTGATTTTAGCCTGCATTTAGCCACACAGCTCATTTTAGCATGAGCAGCAAAGCAACAGTGTTCCTTTGTAGCCTGCACCACAAGTCAGAGTTAATAACCTAAGGTTGTCATATATAACAGCAGTGCTGGGAAAAGCAAACGGAGATTTAAGTATTGTCCCCATGCACGTTTACCACACATTTTATTTATTTTTATTTATTACTTTCAATTTATATCCCGCCTATGCCGGGGCAAACTGGCATGATTTACTGGACCTCAGGAACCAGAATGCACTTGGTTAACTAATGATCATACATGTGCATTATATAGAAGTGCTTCAATTAAAATGGGTCCAACCATAGTAACATCCAACTGGGTGGGGTTGTGTGTATGTGGGCTGGTCCAGTTAACGGTCTTCGAACATATTTGGGGGTTGCAGATTTTATTCAGCCCAAAGCCCCCCCTCCCGGTGCAAAATTTACCATGTGTAGAAGGCTCCATTAACTTTCTCATGTTTACTATGCGGAATGTATAAATGTCCGCAAATTTCGAACAACTATGCCTTATGAACAGGTCAAGTTCCATTTGCCAGGGATTCTACATGCCCCAAAGTGCAGCCCAGCACCTGGGAACCAGCACTCTGGTTGAAGGGCAGCAAGCCCTCAGCAAGAGATGGGGTGGTGGGCAGTGTTCCCTCTAAGCTGAGTTAGTGTGAGCTAGCTCACAGTTTTTTAGCCTCCGGCTCACACATTTTTGTCTTAGCTCAGGAAGGATAGCTCCAGGTCAAACTAATTTATGCAGCAGCCAAATCACTCGCTCACAACTTCAATGCCAGTAGCTCACCAAGTAGAATTTTTGCTCACAAGACTCCACAGGTTAGAGGGAACATTGGTGGTGGGTGGGGCTGTCCTGTCCCTTGCATTGGGTATGCAGAGTGCTCGGGTAGCTTTTAGAACGAAAGTAAGTATTGGCAACGGTCTGCTGACCGCATAAGTTGGCCTGTGAGCCTATTCCGTCCTACACCTTAATTCAAGTATAAAATCTAAATATGTATTCCTCTAGCCCGCTCAAATTGCTGCGCCTACTCACTTTCCCCCTGAGGAAGCAGGGTGCAATCAGGACACAACCTATCTGTGCTAGACTGAGCATTTTAGGAGTTGAGCCAAACGCAGCGATAAATGCGTCACAACCAGTGTTCCCTCTAAGCTGAGTTAGTGTGAGCTAGCTCACAGATTTGTAGCCTCCGGCTCACACAGTTCTGTCTTAGCTCAGGAAGGAGGGCTCCAGAGCAAACCCAATTCATGCAGTAGTCAAATCGCTCTCACAACTTTAATGCCAGTAGCTCACAGAGTAGAATTTTTGCTCACAAGACTCCACAGCTTAGAGGGAGCACTGGTCACAACCAGAAAATATAAAAAGGCACTCGGGATCATTCCTACCCAGGTACGCCACACAAACTCCGGCTCTATGTCTGCATAAAATTACCTCCCTCTGAGCTCTTGAAATAAGCCACACTATAAACCTATTCATAAACAACATTTTACATATTTTTGCCGATATTTTTGCCAACAACATTTAAGGCGTGGTGACCTATAAAACATGAGCTCCTTTCCCTGTCATCGTAATTCAGTCCTGATGCACATATTGCAATGTGAGTTGAAAGAAACTTTAGAGCCCTTTGGAAGCTTCTCCGTGAGCGTATCAACAATTGTAGCTTGCTAGTTTTTTAAAAAAAGTTCAGATAAGCTTAAAAATGGAAAAGTATAAATAAAAGCATAAGGCAGTGAAAACAGTGAACTGTTTATTTCAATTCACTGTATTTACATACGAGTTATGTAAGCCCGGAGTTGCAAGAAAAAACACCTTTCTGCTAAATTAGCGCACAAAGAGAATTCCCTACAAGCCTACCCACCTCTCCCCCAGCGAACAGATAACCAAATCCTTTGTGTGGTTACATCTGCTTTCCATTTTTGGGACATTCTTTAGGAAACAACCTAAATATGCCTCTTATCTGAACCTCATTCGAACATGGAGAAAAAAATCTGTTCAGGCAAGAGAGTTTAGTTCTTCCGTAAAACTTTTCCCTTTAACAAGGCTAGGAAGCACCATTCATTCTTACTCATTAAGAAAGATGGCAAAGTCCATATAGATTTTAATATAGAGAATTAGATGGTGAGTTTATTAAAGCGCCTGATACACATCAGGATGAAGATGTGCTGCAACAAAAATCCTCGTCTACAAACTGAATACAACAGTGACTAAATACTGGGAGGGGGCTTTGGTTTTTGTTGTGTAAATATTAATAACGGAAGATGTTTGAAAGAAGATAAAAAGAGAACACTGAAATAAACGCAAGTAAATCAAAAACTACAGGGAAGCTAGTTTGCCAACTTTAGTATTCATCAGGTAATTATGAAATTGGAATAAGCTTTGTAACAAAAACTGGAGTTTACTGTTCTGTCATTTGATGTATCATAGTCCAAATCTAACGCAAGGATTCACAATGTGTGCAGAAAAGTCTATGGGTATGTATATATTGCATAGGGTGGTAAAAACATTATAAACAAATCAAAAGTAGGTCCTCTCAAAAAGAAACCCAGTCTTTGAAACACTTTATCTCTTGCTTGTAAATGGACTCTTGTCAAGATAATCAGGTGTCAAGTATATAAAGTCTATAGCAGCACCTTTTAAAAGTATCATACTTATACACTAGAGATGTCAAGCAAACTAAGTAATCCAGAAGAGCATAGACATTAGAAACCAATGGGATTAAAAAAAAATGATTTGTGAAAAGACAAGCAGGAAAAAAAATACCAAAATGTCTATAGCTTCTTGTTCGTTTGCTCAAAGACTGATAGATCAGCAATACCATCTTTCTCATGAACAGCGCTTCTCCATATAAGAAAAGCTCAGCTCTCAAAGTCCAAAACTACTTACATGAAAAACTGGGAACCATTTGTATGTTTCCCTCTGTTTGCCATTGACAAAAGGAAGGCTCTGTCATGTTTCAGGATAAAGTTTTCATCTGTTTTAAGAAAAAAAGAAGAGAGGTTAATCAGGGCCTCTGAGCCAAATTTAGCTGTTTCAGAAAGATCAACAATATGCAAGGAGGACTTCTCCAGCAGCTCATTAGGAAAACTTAAAAAAAGAGAGATAATGTACACAACAACTGTACACAACCACCATGTCAGTAACATTCATCAAAGGACACAAGACTTCCGAGCCTTTTATTAGAGGAATCAGGACAGCTTTTTAAATCAAACATACGGGGAAGTTATGTCTTCTACCAGTTCAGGCCTCTGCCTGTCTTTCTCATTTTCATACCACCCTCCTCTACCCATAATTCTCTCCTTCTCCATTTCACCTTTGCAACCTCCTTGTGAAGTAATTTAGGCTGAAAGAGTGAACCTAATGGTTGCCAGAACTCCCCAAACCAAGAACTCCCTGGCTCTAATCCAATATTCTAACCAGGACACCACAACTGCTCACCATTCGACAATTTAACACTAAACTGTGTCTCTAAGGGGTAGTTCCAACAAGGTTTCAGGTGCTGTTCGCCCCCCCAAAAAACACTGCTAGACAAAACACCCAGGATCAAACTGGATCTCCTGCACGCAGAGCATAGCACTGAGCTACGTGATCCCTTCTGGTATTCACTTCCAGACTGCTGTCTATGGAGACAGAAGTAGAACAACCATCCAAATGTGTCTGGGCTAGGGCTCCCAATTCCAGGTCGGGAAATTCCCGGAGATTTGGGGGTGGAGCTGGGGAAGAGCTGGGTGGGTGCCATGTTGGGCATCCCTGACATAAATCTAGACTTCTCTGTGGTACAGTCAGTCGCCAGCAGAGGACGAAAAATGCTGGGTTATTGTTCTTCCGGTAACTGGGAGCCTGCTAATTGTCAGTTTGCCAAAAGGCTAAACTGGATGCATAACGTGGGAGTTGAGTCCTCTTTACGAAGACTGTTGTGAACATTAGTACCTGCAAGACACAGCCCTAACACACACACACACACACCCTACTTGTATGACAAACACTCTCTTTTCTGCTTCGTTATGGTGCCCCCGGATTTTTAAAAAATTACTTCTCTTCCCAATCCTGCCAATGAGTTCACAAACAGCAGGCCTTTCCACTTTGCCCAAAGGTACCATTTTTTTAAACAAATGCAAAAGTTAACGGGAAAAAAACACTGCCATGAGCCGAGAAGAAGACCGCACATGATGTCTTTTCAGCTTCAGTCTCAATGAATTTAAAATATTTTTACATTAAAATGTTAAGCTTGGTGATGTCTTGAGCAAACACATATCAGTCAGGAAGGTGGTTTTCACATGTAAGTCATCAGCATTTACGGCTTAACTGCTTAACATGAAACTACAGACGCACAGTACCAGAACAGTTGTACTTACCTACCATAAAATCTTAAGAGAAAAAGAACCAAAAACCTTTTAGAACACGGATTTCTCAACAGACCGCTACTCAAGGTCAATATCTTCTGGCATCTAACAGTACTATACTGCAACATAACCTCTGTAAGCATGCACACCGTAGGGAAAAAAGGCATACAGATCACTACGCCGTATCCAAACTCCTCCTGTACTGGTTTGCAGCTGATATGGCAAACAGCACTGTAACATCCTGTTCTTGACTCAACAAACAACTGGTCTGTATTTGCTCTAAAAGCAGCGACTGCTATTACGAGCATCATCAAAGAGTTTATTCAGAGTGAACAACATATGTGGATTTATTACTCCTAGGAAGAGAACATGCTACAAGTATTTTCAGAATTCAATAAACATACAAACCTTGGAAGGGCAAGGAGTGGAGGGGGGGGGGAGAGAACCTGCTCCAAGACCAACGTTTAAAAACCCAACAGTCCCCTCGTCGAAAGAGAAGGCAACCTTAGAGCCTCTCAAACTAGCTTTAGACTTCTCTCTCCGAGCTACATCGTTTACCCAGCCACAAATTCATTGTCAGTGGTCCATATAGTTACTAGGAAGGGTGCGGGGGGAACAGAGTTTGAATTTGTGTTGCGCTTTCGTCTCTTACCTTTTCATTTTGCAAAAGACCACATTCTCTATAAACAAAAGAATATGTTGACAGTTTTAGGTAGGAAGACAGGAGTTGTCATGAATCAAGTTGCCTAGCCTCCATGCTGAAGTCACGTTTTAACCAACTAAGTTAGCCGCAATTCTTTCTGTCCATTAAACGCTAAGTATTACAATAAAAGTATGTTTAAAGCTCATGCACATAAATAATCTCCATGCAACGTTACGTTCATGCAAAGGCGTTCTAAGCTGACCTTCTCATTAAACGTATCAGGAATCAAAACTCTCAAAACGGAAACAAACACACCGTCACAAATTGTTAGATCTTACCTTTGAAATATCCACCATAAATAGATTCGCCGCCTTTCCCATTACCTGGTGATTTTTAAAAGGAGACATGGTCAGTTCGGAATCTGTTCTGTTTCTTTTTGCAGTTTCCTGTTGCAAGTCAATATTTTAATATTTATTGCTTCTATGGCTGTTATGATGTTTTATGCCGATTAGCCGCTTCAATATATGAGACACACAATTTAAAATATGGCAAGAATGAGACTCTCATCCAGATATTCATTTTTAACGTGAACAGTACTAGGAAAACGATAATTATGTGGTCTTTAAAAAAAATCTCTCTCAAGCTTTACCTTCACTGAAGTCTCCACCTTGAATCATGAAGTTTTTAACCACACGGTGGAATGTAGAGCCTTCATAGCAAAGTTTTTTCCCAGTTGTTTTCCCAATTCCTTTTTCACCTGCAAGGAAGAAAGTAAATGTGAATTAACAGCTCCGCAGCAGTAATCTACAGTAGAGCAAGGTGGGTTGCCGAGTTGGTCTGAAGAAACAGAACAAACTTAAGAGTCCAATGGCACCTTTAAGACCAACTAGAGTCCAATGGTACCTACAGCGATAACCTTGCTTTCCAATTCGACAGAAACACACAGTAAATTGTTGAAATAAAACAAAGAGCCAGGTCTCTCAATGAAGGGCTGTCATTCTTCTACCATAAGTCTCAACCTACTTGGAAATCTGCCAAGACTAACTCTTTATTGCCCCCACAACTTTTAAAACTCTAATTGAGACGATGGCAAACTAGCCTGGAATTGAGTACTGCAACTGCTATTTTTCTCAGCACTTAGGGGTGGGGTGGAATAGTCTATGTATATTTCCATCCCCTGCCACTGAGACCCAGAGGGAGAGAAGATGGGTTTAAACAGAATGTAGTCTCACAGGACTTATTTACTTCATTCATACCTCATCTTTCTCCCCAACAGGGAGAGCCAAATAGGCTTACACTGAGAGCCAGTTTGGTGTAGTGTTTAAGTGTGCGGACTCTAATCTGGGAGAACCGGGTTTGATTCCACACTCCTCCACTCGCAGCTGCTGGATGACCTTGGGCAAGCCATAGTTCTGACAAGAGCTGTCCTTGAAAGGGCAGTTCTAGAAAGAGCTCTCTCAGCCCCACCTACCTCACAGGGTGTCTGTTGTGGGGAGGAGAAGGGAAGGGAGTTTGTAAGCCACTCTGAGACTCTGAGTGAACAGTGGGGTATAAATCCAATCTTGTTCTCCTCCTCTTCTCCATTTTATCATAACAACTGCGGTCACACAGAGGATTAGCCATGCTACAGAGACGGAAGATAGGCGGATTTTCTGGGCGCGATCACAGTGCCACATCTGGGAAGCGTAGAGCTCCCGTGGCGAACCCGAGGCTTCCCGCCAAAGATGCGGGGTAAAAAACTAGTACCTCCGAGGTACTAGTTTCCGGAAACCGCAGGGCAAGGGCGGGCGCCTGATCGCGTTTCCGGTGGTAGGTCGTGGCATCCGGCGCCCGCCCACGTCCCGTCGCTAAAAGGGTTTTTTCCCCCCAAGTCTCCATGGGATGTGCACAAGCACCCAACAGCGCATGCGCACACTTCGTTTAAAAACAAACAACACAGCCCCCTCCTCTTTTCCGTACCCCCCCAACTCCTGGCTCGGCCTGCTCAAGAGGAACTCTCTGCACCGGGCGGCAGAGGGGGAGGTGCAGGGGGGGCGTGGCAGGAGGGCGGCCCGGCTGAAGCTCCTCCTGGAGGGGACCAGTCGGAGGACACAGTTTGCATTCCTCTGCAGCCCTGGAACGGGTTAAACCCGCGGAGCCTTATGCTAGAGGCCGCTTCTTTGCCGTGCCACAGGATTGTCCTGTGATCGGCACCTCCCCCCTAACCACGGGACCTCGACTGGACGTCTGATCGCGCAGCCGTGCGTTATTTTGCTCCGGGGCAAACAGCTACGCTTCCTCCCCACATTTTCCTGCCCGTGTGACTGGGGCCAACAACCCAATGAGGTAGGTTAGGATGAGGGTGTATGACTGACCCAATGTCGCCCAGCAAGCTTTCACAGCAGAGTCTGGCACTGTAACTACTACACCAGAATCAAGAGAGATCCCACATTCAAATAATTATGGCAGCACCTTTCATTTCATGTTCATAATTTTGGAGAAAAGCCTGTGAATACCGCAGAACGGTCAAAAGCAATTAGGACACTACTAGCAAACATATCTTTAGATTCTGACCAACGCATTTGTGACACCTGCCCCACCCCAAAATGAGAGAAGGGTCCAGCCCGACCTCTATTCTTCATACTTTAAAGCCCAGTATTGGAAGAACAAAAATCAACCTACTCTCCAATGTTGGCAAAACAAACTTTGGGAGCACTTTACCACCCCAAAATGAGAGAAGGGTCCAGCCCGACCTCTATTCTTCATACTTTAAAGCTCAGCCAAAATGTACAGAACAACTGAACAGCAACTTTGTGCATTAAATAATGACTGTGGAAAAGTAACTTACCTGTACATAGGCAAAGGAAGTTTTTGCAAGTCCTTGGACATACATCGGAGAAAAGTTGAAATATGATACGACCAACTGGAAGAAGAATTAAAAACAGGGTTACTTTGTAATTCTGTAATATCTAGGGCAAAGCCGCTAACTCTCCTTAATGGATGTCTTCCATATGTCCTGCTGAATATTAACAAAAAGCAGCACAAGTTTAAATTGCATTTTAAACATTTAAGTATCTTTAAATGTTGGCCGATCACCTGATCCGCTCACTCTCCCACACAGACAAACACTGCTGCGAACACAGGGGGCTTACTGGATTCACATTACCTTGGTCAAGCTAGAGACAGCAGAACAGCTGTGATCTAAATTACTGGCACTAAAGCTGCCATTTGCCCTGGAGTGAAAACACACAATTTTTAACGTAGTGATCAAAGTGAAAATCCTACCATAAAGGAGGAAGGGGGGGCTAACCCCCAAAATTGGATGGAAATAGCATGGGAAAAAAATTATTGAGGATCAAAGTAAGTATGTGGGAAGCTGGGAGAATATATGAAAGACATATGAACACAAAAAATGGTATGTGACTCAATGCAAACAGAAGCTCTTAACCTTATTTGAAACTATGCCCTTTGTCATTTAGTGAAAGGCTGTTACATGCACTAAAACATGATCTGTTCTGCTGTTTTAGAATAGATTCAGACCGGTAATCTCAAGGATTCTAAAGCACTTGTGGTTTTGGAAGAAGTCCCTGAAGATAAGCTTTAAAAATTGCCTAAGGAAAAAGTACTGAGAGGCTACAGGGCTCAGTTACATTTTGCTTTTTATCAGCTCTCTAAAAGTGTCAGAAATAACACGTAATATAAATTATTCATGATATGAGTAGCAGCTGTAAAAATCCAAAAACAAATAAGGTAGAACAAGTGCTACCAAAGCTCTTGCAGGGGCAAACAAATTTTATGAATCTTTTTAAAAGTTCACAAGGAGATTACACTTTTTGGTGCCCATATGCCACGTTATTAAAACTTCTTGCATCATAGAAGACATTCTGGCAGCTGCGATTCAGGTCACTTATTAAGCTTATGTCAAATCCAGGGAACCAAGCTAGTGTAGCTCTCTAGAAACAGGAAACTGATACTCACTCACACACATCCAGAACACCCTGCGTCCCCCTCACAAAGCCCCCTGCATGCTTGCAACAGCTTCCACACACACACTGCGGGTTCAACAACCCAACAAGGACAGCTCAGGATGGACTTAAGGCCTTCCAGCTCAAATGGCTTTAAGACCTGGGGTCCTAAGGCTATTGATCTGGTACACAACATTAAAGGAAACCAGAACAATGGTGCCATTTCCAGGAACTCTGTGAGGGAAAATAAAGACTTCAGAATCTCTTCTCTGATGGGCTGGGATGAGAGAGATGGGCGTCTGAAAAGGGTGAATAAAAGGAAAACCGATATCACTAGAAAAGGACAAAATACAGCAATCTTTTTGAAGTCAGGGAGGTACAGGTTTGGTAAGTTCCTGGATGGAAATCCTATGTAAATCACCTTAAGTTTCATGATGGACAAAAGGCAAATATAGGTGAAATAAGTACATTTGAAGACTAGGGGAAACTAAATACTCCATTAGGTGGGTGTTTATTTAATCAGTATATCAAATATCACTTTTGTAATTTAACTGAATTTTTTTAAAAAAGAATTCTGCAATCATGCAATGCTTTTATAAAAGTATGCTTTATGTCAACTGCGTCTAATCAGATTTGCAAAAAAGGAACAAACAAAAACTAGATGTTTTAAAAAAGCACCCAGCCCTATCAATAGCCTGTAGCATGCTTCGAAGGAAAGCACAGTGGTCAACCTCTGCTCCCCATTACTTCTTTGTTAAACAACCAAACGTGAAGAACTGTTTGCGAGGCAAGTCTTCCTATCTAGGCACAGCAAACTGCTAAGAGCAGAGCAAAGGCCTTTCTAACCTCTCATAGCCTATTTATACCTGCCGGTCTCGGAACATGACTGATCCAGCCCGCAGATGTAGCCCCAGCTAGCTGCAATGTGTGTGTAATTAAAATGCTGTATGTTGTCTTCCCTATCCCCACGAACATTGTTAGTCCAACTGTCAAAGAGTACGTAACTGTAAAATCGCTCTGAGCCCGCAGGTGTGTGGGAAACAGCGATTAATAAATTGAAAGTATTATTATTATTATTTTTGTGGGTCTGGATTAGGCCAAGTTGCAGCGTGAAATGGCAAGAGGAAAAGCCTGAGAAGACTTGAATATTTTTTCTTCCCACCTACAAAAGCTTACCGTAATCAGACTGCAGAATCATTAAAACCTTGGCACACCAGTCACAAGTTGGGGCCTTTGAAACACAGCTATCTCCACATCTTGCTCCTTACGTTCCCTTGATTTACACATTTAATAAATTTTATCAAACAAAATCGCTCAATTCAGGTTATTGTGGCAGCTTACGATGGGCTCTGTTTCATTCCCACAATCATCCTGTAAGGTAAGCTAGCCAGAGAGAGAACGTGTAGGGCTTTTTCCATGGCTACCCATGGAACGTGAGTTTATAGTGTCTTTATCAACATCTTGTCAATCTCAACCTTTATTAATAGTAACTTTCTAGCCCTCGTGATTATGGAGAAGAGACGGGCGACGTGAAAGACCGACTTAAGATTCAGAAGAAAGAATCGGTCAGGCAGTTGTTTGTTATGGTCATAGATCAGCAGAAGTCGGAATGAATCTCTTCGAGGACCTTCTCCCCAGGGACTCTAGCATTTGTACACCTTTCCCCTAACTTTTTCCTATTTGAAAAAGTGTGCCTCACACACAAAAGCTCATACCCTGAATATACCTTTGTTGGTCTTAAAGGGGCCACTGGACTCTCAATTTGTTCTACTTTTTCCTAACAGTCATTTCTCAGTACCTTATGTGACTCTTTCTCCTTTCTCACCTACGGTGCTAACAGATGCTCTTTATGAATCACCATACATTATGCAAATTACATGGTATCAGTGAGACTTATTTCTCCCTGTTGCATTCAGACAATCAGGGGGCAGGAGGGAGGTAAACAGATCTTTCATTTATCTCATTAAATGGGACTGCAAAAGTTCCCAGACATATATGTTAAAATACTACCTAGCCAGACTTTGCTAACCCAAATTATGCCTCGCCCCACAACATGCTTTTATTTTATTTTTCTATTTCTGCGCACAATGCCTTCTCATCTCTCAGGGACTATAAACAGATTTTTACTACAACACCCCCACACCCCTTACTTTTCACCAGTAAACACACTGCTGATGGATCTTGAAATGCTACAAGACACTGTAAATGCTGATTGCAGTAATTCTGAATGTGAAAGTCACTACACCTGTCTAAATTTTACATAGTCTACTGCTTGGGGGGGCGGGGGGAGGAAATAATTTCACAACAGTATAAAAAACACAGAAGACAAATACTTAAAATGCCCTTTCTAAGCAACGTGGCAACTGCATACAACGCAAGGCTTGAATGAAAGGTCAGCAGCAATTCAAACACCTCTCTGGGTCAATCGATAGCAGTCTTACAGATTTCCCAACCTTACCTGGCTCTCGGTTGATTTCTATGTCAAAGAAGCACTGAGGCCGATCCTGTGCCCCCATGGCAGCAGGAAGACCCGGCGCCTCTCCTCCTCACCACCCTGGGGAAAACAGAACCGACTCAGAATTGAAACAAATCAGGACTCAAAGCAGTCTGATGCGATCTGTACCCTCTGGAGAAGCCGAAGGCTATTCACTGAGGCTTGGGCGGATCGTCTGAATTATAGCTCCCTCCCACCATCTAGAAAGGGTGGAGTGTTAATACTGAGAACCCACCCAGCCACAGTATAAAGCAACCAATTACAACGGACAGTGTGGATTTCACAGGATCCAAGATGAAATGGAAGTCTTCTATTTATACCGAAAAAATCTCTCACCAGGATGACGGTGGGGAGAGGGAGGAGGTCAAGAATAGAAAGCAAAGGCTATAATACAGGTCCATTACAAACACAAAAAGTACCGTGTTCACTGGCAGGGACGGCAGCAACAGCCATCCTGAACATGACGTTTGGGAATGAAGTATCAGGCAAAGGAAGGCAGCCCTTGACTGGGAAGGCAGCCCTTGACTGGAAGGGACTGCCCCTCCACCCCTATACAAAGCTGCTCGACCCACCCCTGTTAAAAATTGTGAGGGGGTACCATGTACCCTGCCCTGAGCGGGATGGCTCTGGCTAGCCTGATCCTTGTCAGATCTTGGAAACGAAGCAGAGTTGGCCTTGGTTTGGTGTAGTGGTTAAGTGCACGGACTCTTAATCTGGGAGAACCAGGTTTGATTCCCCACTCTTCCACTCGCAGCTGCTGGATGACCTTGGGCAAGCCATAGTTCTGTCAGAGCCGTTCTCTAATGAGCAGTTCTGGAAAGAGCTCTCTCAGCCCCACCTACCTCACAGGGTGTCTGCTGTGGGGAGGGGAAGGGAAAGGAGTTTGCAAGTCGCTCTGAGACTCTGAGTGAAGGGCGGGGTATAAATCCAATCTCTTCTCTTCTTCTCCTTCTTAAGTACTTGGATGGGGAAGCCCCCAAGGAAGTCCAGGGGTCACTACAAAGAGGCAGGCAAGGACATACCACCTGTTTGTTTTTTGCCTTGGAAACCCTGCAGGGTGGCCAGAAGTCAGCTGCGATTTGACAGCGTTTTCCTCCACCACCACGCTCCCAAACCACTTGTGGGGTTCGAAGGACTGGAAGTGTAGGTGCAATTCTTGGCTGTTTTTCGGAGCTCAGAGCTTGTACTGGACTTATTCTAGCGGGGTGGCTGTTTTGGGCTGAGCCTTTGTCCTTAAGGTGCCACAAAAACCCTCTTCATCTGATACTCTCCACAGGTTTAATTTGTTTTTACCTATCAGTCATCTTGTGGGGCATTTTAAGTAGAAAAAATGGATATCAATCCTCTATAAGAAACGGATCCTACACTTCTTTTCCCCTCTCCCTTTATTTGCCAGGGGAAAAGAGTGAATACTTTTTGTGGGGTAGGGTGGGGTAAAAGTTCCCAAAATAAATTTAAAAATACCTTTTGCCACCCATATGAAACTGGTGGTAGATTTATTTGCTTCATATGTAGTCAGCGTTTCTTGTAGAGATTCAATGCAAATTCATGAAACAAAGAGTTTCATGTTTGCTTATCAATCAAGGGTTGGTCTTTGAAGAGGGTGGGAGACATCCTGTCCTCATCTCGAACTCTCTATTTACCAGGAATTTGTACAGACACCTGCCTAACCCGGCCATATTCTGATACTACTGTTTATGGCATGGCATAAGCACAATTGTTGTCAGGGGGATTTAGAACCACTTGCACATGTTTTGATAGAATTACATCCTTAATCTTTATTTATTACAAACAGTCAGTTTGCTTTGGGTACCGGAAAGTTTCATTATTTTAGCTCACTGTACCTAACAGTAAACTGGCTGGCTCCTGTGTGGACGACAAAGGTCATGCAATACAGAGGTGGGTAGCCGAGTGGGTCTGAGGCAACAGAATGAAATTTGAGTCCAGTTGCACCTTTAAGACCAACAAAGTTTAATTCTAGGTATAAGCTTATATACGCACCCGAAAGCTTATAACCAGAATTAAACCTTGTTGGTCTTAGAAGGTGCCACTGGACTCAGATTTTACTCAAGAGACAAGGCAGGGATCTCTATCTACCGAGGGGACTCTCCAGATATATCAAAAATATGACTTTTCCAATCAACCCAATGGGGGGGAAATCTCAAACAGCCAGATAAGAACTGAGCATGCTCCCAGAATCATAGACCAGTTAAAACAGTTAACAGTCAGTTAAAGAAGGGGGGGGGGGGGGGGCGGGGGGGGGGGGGAGGCAGAGGCAAAGTTCCTCTGGCTTCCTCTCAAGGGTTAATGCGAATAGTAATAGGCCTGGTTCGTCCTGCAGGTGTTACTGATTGGTTTCTCAGGCTGTACTGTTGTTATCATCTTCAGGGTCAGAGATGAAGGTGGCGAGATTAGTTTCTCATGAGAACCTGCGGTCCGTATGATGGTGGGGAGGAGAGGGGTGGGTGGGGATGAGGTAATCTTCTAGAGGCTTCTTCAGAGAGCCTGTCCTGATTGGATGTCACTCTCCCCTGATGTTGCTGGGTCAAAAACTCTAATTCATCTAAGATCCAATGGAAGATAGGACTAGCTGAGATCCCAATGGACCGAAGGCCTAAACTATGTTCTGCTTGAACTGCAATCAGGAGCAGCGTAGAGAATTTCTGGGCTTTGGCCCGTGACTTTGGAACTTAAGGTTTTGTTCCATCTAATGCGTGCTCTGAAAGTGTTAAGACAGCTGAGCTAGTCTTTCTTGTTTTCTTGCTGCGCGGTTTTAAAATAACGTACAAGGGGCGGGACCCGCGATACTCGCGGGAGGGGGGGAGGGAGCTCCACACTTATCAGGCAGAGGAGGTAGCAGCAGGAGGAGGTAAGTTCCCCCCCATCCCGCCGGTTCCCCCCCGTCCCCTCCCCCACC